ATGAAGATCTGCTGTGAGTTGACTTGACTCATGATAATTAACTGTGACTTGACTTGACTCATGATGATCAACCGTGACTTGACTAGATGCTGTTGTGTCCGCCATCTTGTGAGTGTGCTCTGCTGTCGCCGCCATCTTGTGAGCGTGCTCTAGTGTGGCCGCCATCTTGCGATCAGGCTCCGCTGCCATTTCGTGAGCGTGCTCCGGTACAGCCACCACTTCAGTCACACACATTGTGTCGCGTTCTTCCTCCGCGACACCCACAGTAAATAAAGATCCGACAGTCAACAAACGGCCGTGACTTGACTTGACTCATGACGATCAACTATGACTTGACTTGACTCTTGACGATCAGCTGTGACTTGACGGGGCGCTGTTGTGTCCGCCATTTTGTGATCAGGCTCATCTGTCGCCGCCATTTTGTGAGCGTAATCTAGTGCGGGAGCCATTACAGGAGTGAGTGCGGGGTCGCGTTCCCCCGCGATACCCACAGTGAATGGAGAGCCAACAGTCAACAAAGCAAAATCCAAAAAACAACTCAGTGATGAACGCGGACCCTCGCGTCTAAGCTCAGATCGCAGAGGTTGATTCAGGCCATCACAAAAAAACTCTATCAGAAGACAGTCTGGTAGATCAGCATAATGTGCTATGGCTAGAAATTCACTAATATAGTTCTCCAGCGATCGCGGGCCTTGTTTAAGGGCTAGTAATATCAAACCACAAGAACAGGCAAGGCAAAACAAGGAAAACACGGAGACTCGGAAAGGGGTACAGGCTAAACAATACTCAGCCCAGAATGGTGGTTTGAGTGGGTGTTATATAGTGAGTGAGGTGATGAGGAACAGCTGTGTGCAATCAGTGCAATCCGTGCAGTGTGCAAACCGTGCAATGAATGATGGGATATGTAGTCCGGGGTGCTATGCAACAGTTTGTGTTGTGCGAGAGTCAATGTAATGGAAAGGGTGACCTCTAGTGGTGAATAAACGAAAGTCCATGGACAGAATTCGTGACATGAACAAAAAAGATATCTTATATTTCAACAGAAGTTAAGAAAAAATCAACAATTCCTCTCTTCTCTAAAAAAAAACAAAATTACAATAATAAACAAAATGTTTCAAATATGAAACCCTCTAAATTACCTATCCAAAATAAAGAAACAAAAAAATATAATTCTCTAACCTAACTACCTAATACAAAAACAGAGATCCAAACGTTACAAAAACAAAAGATGGCGTCTGACTCCTTACTTTCCCAAAAACTATTTACAATATTCACAATACATATTTACAAAGAAACATCAAGTTCAGAGGGATAATCCAAAATCAAAATCGCACAACAGGCAAGGGTCGGGTGAGCCAGAGTACCGTTACAAAGCAACAAATATCCAAACAATATCTCTCTAAGCATACAAATGGTTAAATCAGCACAAACAAACAGCATAGTTACAAAATGCCCCCCCCCCACCCCCTTTGGAGAGAAGACCAATCAGAGGACGACAGCAATGAGTCTGCAGGAACCTATCAGCAGCAACCAAACCAGCAGAACAAAACTATAGGGTCGTAACAATACCACTTCACTTTTATATCCAGAGCAGAACAAAGAAATCTTTAAATCAGCTGTAAAGACCTTTTGGTTTGTTAGGATCTCGTGACCCGAGAGCACACCTGGCCAGAGAAGGGAAAGCATTCTCACCAACACACCCTTCAGCAGCAGAACAGATCATATAAGTGACTGCTGTGAAATTGAGAGCGTTTACCAATCACACCGATACCTTTAAAGTGATACGAAACAAGAAAACATTAAAGCAATGGATCCGTGACATATAATAACTGCAGTATAAGCACATAACCGGAGATCCTGACACTCTGAGTCATTAGATCACACACTCAGGAGGGAGAGAGGTGGCTTAGGGATAAAAGGGACAGTTGAGCAAATGGTTTTCTTTGAGATCTTGTCTTCAGATTAGTGAGTTCTGTTTTGTGAGATTTCCTGAACTTTGGTTTCATAGGAAAATATCATTTCTGCCTCAGTGCTCTAACAGTGCTCATCATGACAACATCACTGAGATGATAGTTGAAATTCAAGCACAAATTCATGATTGCTTTCATGAAAAAGGGCAAGGCACGATGTAAGTAAATGCGCAAGAGTTGCAAATTCCTAGCCTGTTTTTAAGATGTTGTGCACATACCGTGAACACACCCAGCGCAGTAAACGACAACAACATCCAGTCACACAAGCTACTCGACTCTTTTGAAAGTAGGGCTGCTATCTACGTGATTCATGCGAATGTGACGACCATAGCATTGCTCTGTTGTGTTTTCAACATATTAGGAGCACAACTAAAATTGAATGGGTAAATATTTACAAATATTCGTATTCTTTTACTGTACTTTTTTCCAGTTAAAAATAATCAGCAGCGTAGAAACAATGATCTAGAGAAAGAGAACAAAGAGGGCTGTTTTCTACTATTCAATAATGAACCTTTTTCCTGCAAGTTCCACTAGGCTACCCATAAAAGCATGATATTGCGCTTTTTTATTTAATTTAATTTGACATACATCAGCAGCACTGCCATAAAGCACCGCTTTTAATTAAATTATCACACCTAAGCAATATCATGATCCCTTTTTTCCGAAAAATTGAGACTGTGAAGCAGCACATATGACACACAGGTGATATATTACTGAACTCACGCTGTGTGACGTTACGAATAACTACGACGTCATGCTGTATTAGGTTACAGAAACTAGTTGTTCGGCACAATGACGGAGTAAACTGTAATAGTCTTTAATTCCTACTTAAACACAATGCACAGGAGAATCACCAGCAGAACGTACAAACACAAACTCAAAATCTATCCAGGACCAAGACCAGACAGACATGTTTTTTGGGCCGCTGTGCCAAGACTGTGTTTGCATGCAGTACAAATACAGCCGAGCTTTACTGCCACGTTGAAAAAAAAACAAAATAAATAAGATTAACGTCATAATATATGAGTCAAAATTACGATAATAAAATCATGTTATATTGCATGAAGTCAATGTGAAATTTCCACCTACTCCGTCAAATAAAGTCTGTGGCATCCAACCCATCATTCTTCACATTTATTAACATTAAAACAGCAATACAAACGTTCTAACTTGAAGTAGGCTCCAACTCGGTTAACTGACTGATTTATGAGAATAATAAAACAATGTTGGGAAAGTTATTTTGTTAAATGTTATATCACGACTGACTATTCACAAGCTGTTTTATCGACTTTTTTTTAAACACTGATTGATTTGATTACATGAGACATTTGTTTATTAAATTGTTCAGATTTTTTCCAGCATTCCTTCTGATATGCTTTCATTTTTATTTCGAGCTGTAAATAGTAAAGAGGAAAAGATGATTGATTCACATGCCGCTTGAACTGAGGGAAATACAGTCATCTCACAACGCATAAACACATTTATTGTTTGTATTTTGTGATATAATTGACAGAATTTATAGGCTGAGACTTTGTGTTATAATAAAAGTAACAAAGCACAAAGCTTATTGCAATTATTTGGTTGTTGACGTGCTACGCATAATGAATGTACTTGAAACGTTAAATATGTATACGTTATATACATTTGTTGAATTAAATTGAAGGATCTAGGGATCCACAAATGCAAACTGTGTGTGTTTTGCTTCAGGAGAGCAATCATACATTCTTCATTCATTTATTCCTGTAATCATATAATCTTTTATAATAATTAGTCATTAGCCATTTATATAATTCATCCCTTGATTATTTTAATAATTTGTATCATTTAAATTATTTTATCATGTATTCATTTACTATTTGATATTTCTTATTATTCTGCTTGCTTATGTATTTTCGTAGTTGTTTAGTCTTATGACTGTGTGATTTAAGGGCTGTTTGTCTTCATGAAAAGGATAATGGGATGTTGTTTTGAAGCAGTTTTGGTATAACAATACTTGTTGAATTTGTGTTCGTCAGATGAAATCTGAGTATTGAAACATACGCAACTGAGACTATTAAATAAACTCTGCTTCTTTTTATCATCACTTCGTCTCCTGCTTCTGCTCTTCTCTGGCTTTTTCTTCAGTCAACTTCTTGGCTGACTACTTTGCTGAAGAGTTGTTCTGTTACCAGACAAAACTGATATTGTCTGACAGGATCTGGCGTCCGGAGCTGGATCTTAATTATCTGCTGTGGAGGCAAGATGGAATAACACGGAGCTGTTATCTCTATAAGAGCGGAGTCGGGATTGTTTCTCGCATGACCAGATGTGATAATTCCACAATTGGAAGAGCATTTTAAGATCAGTAAGCAGAAGCTATAATAAATTATTCATAGTTGCTAAATACCTCTATAACTGTATCCTGTTTTCTATTAAATTATGTTTTTCTTTTAAATTGAAATGCACATTTCTTTTAGATGCATTCAATCTTTTCTTCTCAATCAATTTTATGATGCATTCAATCTTAATTTTCATCAAAATCTGCCACAAACACATACACACAAACACACACTCACACACTCACACTCACATTCACACACACACTCTCACAC